TTAACAGAAAATGTACATTCATTTGTGCCAATAGTTGTATCAATAACGTGTAATGTACTTTCATCAACACCACAAGTAACATCATTAGCGCGGATCAACTTTCAATAACGTTTGTTTTATTTCTGTTTTAACGATTGTTTTATTTCTTTTATTGTTCATTCGAATCATGCAAATGTTTGTCGAACCACGCTATAGAATATAACGTTGACCCTCATGATTGTCCAAGCGCGTTATAGATTGTCAATGATTATGCTAATAGCACTAATGAATTTTCACTTTTGGGTAAATGATTGTCCATAAATGCAATTGTTTGTCATTTGGTGTTATTGAAGTTGAATTTCGCTCACAAGAAAATACATTCCGCGCATATGAATGTACAAACGCGCTATTGATTGTCCATTGATGCCTATGAATGTACACGCATATTCAATTGTCGTTATTGAAAGTTGATCCGCGCTAATGATGTTACTTGTGGTGTTGATGAAAGTACATTACACGTTATTGATACAACTATTGGCACAAATGAATGTACATTTTCTGTTAATGAACGGCAAAAGGTGTATGTTAAAAATTCTATTCACATGAAGAGAAACCCCCAAAGAATAAAAATATTTAAATATATAAATAAATGAATAAATAATAAGAATAATTTAAAATTTTAATTCTAGTTTTGAAGATATATTTCCACATTTGAAATGATTATTTAATTGAAATCATACAATAAACTTTAATGAGCAAGTGTTCGTTGTTGAAGCTGTGCATTTGTACTTGATAGTTGATATTTGTGAATATTTGGAAACAGAAATAAGTCTAACCCTGTATAAATAAGTCTGTGATCGAGGCTAGAACACGCGGTATTTGACTTTTTTCAAAAACGGTATATTTGGTCTTTCATGTCTTTTGTTTCATTCATTTATTGAGCTACTCAATTGGGACTGGAACGGTTTAATACACGAGCACTATGCAATATTTTTTTCTCACAGCTTGCAATGCAACGCCGTTGAATTGCAATTTGCAGAAGAGATTGCACGTGTAGCCACCCCGTTCTGCAATGTTGCAAGTTGCAGAAAGGTTTGAACGAGCTTCAGTACTTTTCGCAACTTTACCAATTAATTTTGCAGTGTGTAACATCTATCCCACAATCTGCAATGCAATCAGTGTTGCAAATGACCGATGAGAACACAGCTCGTCCATGACCGCTGACATATCCTGTTTTATCAAAGGCCAAGAAAACATTATTTTGCAAATTGCGAAGAGAATTGCGCGAGTGCAACATCTCATTAACACTTGCAATTTACAATGCTCTGCTTTTGTCAGCATTGTGTTGCAAGTTGCAAGAAAAAAAATCTTTATGTAACAGGGTCTTGACACAAACACCCACGTGATGAAAGAATGTATGAAAGGAGAAGCCCATTGATTACGATTTTTCTATATTAAGTAATTGTTTACTACACCTACCTTCTGTTTCCCGGGCAACCGCACCTTCTACGTCAGAGGAAGTCTTTACTTTCTTTTCAAATTCGGATAATTCCTGAAGTAAATCTTGCCTTTCGATAGCCAGAAGTAGCTCTTCTAAAAGTTCTAAATTATCTTCAGCCAGATATCCTTCTTCTTGTAGCTTTTTAAGAAACTTCAGGCCTGAATGCCATTCACGGCTGTCAATATCATCCAGCAATGAAGAAGGAACCCTTTCTTTTACTTTTAGTTTATTTTTAAAGATTTCAACTTCGCGTGGTCGGATTTTGCTTCCAATTTCAGTCAATAGCTCTAGAAAATTCATCGACTGCAGTTCTGTTGGGGTCTCCATCTCACGACTTCAATGAATAGCGTTGGCTATAACTTTTAAAAAATCCATGGAAAAACCATTAATAATAATAATATAATAATATCGCTCACTTCGCCAAACTAGGTCGTCAATTCATAACTCCGGAAGATGACCTTCAGTAAATAAATCTTTATTTCACGATATTTTAAGGTTTGATGCATATTTTATGCGAGTTTCGTTAAAAACATTTGAACATGGGCATTTCAAAAATTCAAGGCAATCCATTAAATGGTGATTTTTCTACAGCGCGATCTATGTTTTAGATCCGTCGACTGTTCGGGCTCAGTGCAGTATCAGACGTTTTGCCTATTATTAACATTTCAAAGACAATGAAGGGAGGGGACGTTACCGTTGTCGCGCTTCAAAATTAATAGGCTTTTTGAACCATTTTTAAAAGTTTTATTTATATTATCTGTTATTTCATTTACTGTTCTAAATGTTAATATATTCAAATCATTCAATGTTGCACTCATCCCCAACAGTCAACGGAACTCAGCCGATCGGCCAAAAGCGTTTGAAAATGAATACATGAACTTGGTTGCCGTGACAACCGTGTAGAAGAAAATTAACCACCTCTCTACATTCTTGTTCGTTGTGTTGAAACAGAGGGCTTTAGTTTAAGATCAACTAAATAGCCTAACATGTTATAGGAGTGAACTCGCTGAGGCGAGCGGCTGTTCTTTATTTTTCAAGCGTGTTTTTTGAGAAAACTAATATAATTCGTGATTTTTAGATTTTTGTCATTTTACAGACGTTTTTGTTGCTGTGGTCAAGCTTAAATTATTCAGCTAGTTTAACAGCTTCGTCTCTGAAATTAAGAGAGTGTATACGTACTGATAAAGAATTGTGCATTGCCACCCCCTCAAAGATGGCTCAAATAGGATTTATTGTCGCTGTTCTGTTATAGTTTGTTGACACTGCATTATTTGTATGGTAAGTTTTTTAGGCCTATCTTACGACGCAACTTTCACTCTATAGATTTTCTCCAAACTCGGCAGACAGAATTGTGGCAATCTATTTACGGCCAAGAATCTTAAGTTTCATGAAAATCGATAGTTTCCTAATGCAGACGTTCTTAGCGTCTGTCACGGAACTTTTCGTGACAGACACTAAGAACATCTGCGTAAAAGGCTAGGAAATAGATTGATCGTTTTTTTTTAGAAAATCGGCCTCGGGACGACAAACGCGACGAAATAAAATTTCGAATACTCCGTAAAAAGCCCAAATGTTCGAGCTACATGTGCTAAACTCTTAATAAAAAAATGTACTTTACAACCTAGCAGCCTCAGTTTCTATAAGGGTTTAAAAGTGCCCAAATTAAATTAAGGAAACGAAAACAGCAAACGACATTTCACCAAGTTTTAAGGCTTGAAAATTCTCAGATATATTGTTTTGTTACAAACACAAATACACCAGTCGGGCTTCCTGTGCACATGTCTGGCTTGCTCAAATACAAAGTAAACTTCGGTCGGTTCTACAACATGATGTATTTTTCATCGAATATCAATTCAAGAACGTGTTGCATCATATGAATGAGTTCTAGACAGAAATGAAGCAAAATAACACTTGTTACCTTACCTTATAGTCTACAATCGATCGAGTTTTATCGAATTTCAGTTCGAGGTATTCGTTCCAGTTCGTTACTAAAAGATCAGGAAAAAATCAAAACGGAAGTGTTTGAGAGGAGAATGGCGTCTTTATGACCGTCTTAAAATACCCAAATTGAGAACCACTGCTTTAGTCTGGTACTCTAAAACCATAAACATGATGTATTAGAGTAGAGAGATTGAATTTTGCGCACTTTTGATCGATAATCACTAACCTTAGCTAGCTTCAGACACAACTGAAAATTAACGTGGCGGAGTAAATGAACTAGGGATTCCAGTAAGTTACAAATTTTACTATTTTTTTCTGTGTAGGGGTATTGTGAGTATAAGGCACAGGCAACCCAGAACACTTCATTTTCCCCCCTACTTTTTTGTGTGTTCCAATTGTCTTGAAAGTATTATCCCCCTTAGTTTCTATTTTTAAGTTATTGTTATTACACAGTCGAGGTTTGACGCGGGCCAAGGAAAATTATTAGCTACCTCTCCTGAGATATAAATTTTAAAATGATAAGAACTTTTCATCTCGGAACCTATACAGAATTCAAGCCTGGATAATACTCGTGAGATTCAAATAAGGAATATACTTTCTATTAAGAATAACAGGGAGAGCTTAATCATTGCAAGAGAGATT